GTGCTGCCAGTCCTACTGTCACGCGTCTTCTCGCTACTGTTGTCACTGACCCTTCCTTTGAGTCCACTGCTGCGTCTGCTCTCGTTGCTGAGCTTGTTGTCTTTGCTGCCGCCTGTCGTCTAGACTACGCCGCTAGCCTTGTTGCTGAGTCTGAGTCTGTCTGTCCTCCGTCCGTCGGGGGTGAGTGTGCTCTTGGCACGGACGTCCTTGAGGACAGACAGGAGGAGTTTGAGTGCTTTGCCGCTGCTTTACCTCATCTCGTGTCCATGCTGATTGCCCCTGAGGGAGACCCGGATGCACCAGACATCCCGATCCCGCGCTCTTACGCAGAGGCGATAGAGGGTCCCTACTCCTCTCAGTGGCAGTCAGCCATGGACGCAGAGATGGCTTCCTGGAAGTCCACAGGCACCTACGTCGACGAGGTTCCCCCACCTGGGGCGAACATCGTCAGTAGCATGTGGATTTTCAGGGTGAAGCGGCCGCCGGGTTCTCCGCCTGTCTTCAAGGCGCGTTACGTTGCACGAGGCTTCAGTCAGCGTGAGGGAGTTGACTTCTTCCAGACCTTCTCCCCTACCCCGAAGATGACCACTCTTCGGGTTCTGCTGCACGTCGCCGCTCATCGTGACTACGAGCTCCACTCTCTTGACTTCAGCACTCCTTTCCTACAGGGCAGCCTGCACGAGGAGATCTGGCTGCGCCGCCCACCTGGCTTCACTGGGTCGTTTCCTCCTGGTACCCAATGGAGCCTCCGGCGGCCAGTCTACGGTCTCCGCCAGGCACCCCGTGAGTGGCACGACACACTGAGGACGACTCTTGCTGCTCTTGGGTTTGCTCCTTCTACCGCTGACCCGTCGCTGTTTCTACGCACCGACACCACTCTGCCGCCGTTCTACGTTCTCGTGTACGCAGACGACCTGATCTTTGCTACTGCTGACACTGAGGCACTCGCCCACGTGAAGTCGGAGCTGCAGAAGAGACACACGTGCACAGACCTGGGTGAACTGACAAGCTATCTTGGCTTGCGGATCACCCGGGACAGAGCACAGCGCACCATTACCTTGACTCAGTCACACATGATGCAGCAGGTCCTTCAGCGCTTCCGCTTCACGTACTCCTCGCCACAGTCCACTCCTCTGCCTACGGGTCACTCGCTCTCAGCTCCACCTTCGGACGAGTCCGTAGAGCCGAGTGGCCCGTATCCAGAGCTTGTGGGCTGCCTCATGTACCTGATGACCTGCACTCGACCTGACCTAGCCTACACTCTTAGCATTCCAGCACGCTATGTCGCTCCTGGCCGTCACCGGAAGGAGCACATGGATGCTGCTAAGAGGGTGTTGCGCTACTTGTGCAGTACGTCAGGCATGGGGCTCGTGCTTGGAGGGAGGACTCGAGTTGTCCTCACTGGTCACGCTGACGCTTCTTGGGCTGACGACTTGACTACGCAGCGGTCGTCACAGGGTTACACCTTCAGCCTTGGCTCCGGCTCTGTTTCTTGGCGGTCTACCCGCTCGTCTTCTGTTCTCAGCTCCAGTTGTGAGGCTGAGATCTACGCTGGGGCCATGGCTGCACAGGAGTTACGCTGGCTCACCTACCTGCTGACTGACCTGGGAGAGCCGCCTCGTTCTCCTCCAGTGCTGTACGTCGACAACAAGGCCATGATTGCCTTGTGTCAGGAGCACAGACTGGAGCACAGAACGAAGCACATCGCTCTGCGCTACTTCCTTGCTCGAGAGTTGCAGCAGCGTGGTCAGCTTCGTCTTGCTTACGTGGCCACTCGGGCCAACACTGCTGATGTGTTCACCAAGGCGCTTCAGCCTTGTGATCATCAGCGTTTCTGTACTGTTCTAGGCCTTGTGCCTACTGTGCCTCACTTGCTTACCTCTTGACTCTGCTTGTACTGTGATCTCTATACATATACCTGCATGCTTACACTTGCTAGGTTGTGATCACTGTACCTCTTGTTATATATCAAACTGCATGTGAACTGGTCTTGTGACCGCTTGCTTGTGCTCGGAATTTGTGTGGTATCCTTGAGATCCACTCTGAGCTTGCTTTGCTTTTCTTGACTGGTCTTGTGACCTCTTGTTCTCCCCCACTTTGCCTATGGGGGTGTGTCAAACTTATGTTATAGCCTGTTTAGGCTGTAGTGGGTTAGACAATAGGGGGTACTACATTTCTAGGTTTCCCTATTTGTACCCAACTCATTTCTAGTCATTTCACTCCTCGTATTATTCTCACAGCCTTCGCTTTGGCCGTCCTGTCGCCCGCCTCCACTCTGACGGTGGTGGCGAGTTCTTTAACCACTCTCTCTCTTCTTACTGCTCCTCTCGTGGCATTCGCCAAACCTCCACCCTTCCGCATTCTCCTGAACAGAATGGTATTGCCGAGCGTCGTATTCGCACTCTCATGGAAATCACCCGCTGTCTCCTTACTCATGCCTCTGCTCCACACTCACTTTGGAGCTACGCTCTTCTTCATGCCACTCTTCTTTCCAACCTTCGCCCTCATCCCCTTCGCCGTTCCATTACACCCTTCCAGCTCTGGACTGGCCGCCAGCCCTCCGCCCGCCCTCTTCGGGTCTGGGGCTGTGTCGCCCATGTCCTCATCAATCCCGCCGATCGAGCACGTCAGGGTGGGAAGCTTGCTCCCAAGACGCAGCTCTGTGCGCTCATTGGCATCAACTCTGACTGTCCTGGCTATCTTTTCTATGCTCCCTCCTCTCAGCAACTCATTTGCAGCCAGGATGTTATCTTTGATGAGACTCGTTCCCCTTTCCTCACCCCCCCTCCCACCCCTCCTCCTCCCTCTCTTCATTGGTCTGACTTTGATCCGCTGCCCTCTGCTGCTCTCCCTCCTCCCCTCCCTCCTGCCCCTGCTCCGCCTCCCCTCCCTTCCCCCTCCTCCCCTCCCTCTGCTGTCATCTCTGGCCCCTCTCCTCCTGCCTCTTCCTCTTCGGCTCCCATGCCCTCTCCTTCACAACATCCTTCTCCTCTCTCTCCTTCTGCTCCTGCTCCCCCACCTTCTCCGCGTCTCACCCGCTCCATGACACGTGCAATGTCCAATTTTCAACACTCTGCTCTCTTGACTCGTCTCTCTCCCTCTCCGAACGTCGATCTTCTCGAGGATCGATTTGAAGAGCTGTTCTCTATTCATCCCGTTTCACCCCTCCTCTGTGTCACCATTGGCGACTTCTCCAATTCTCCCACTCTTCTCTCCGTTGACACTGCCGCTATTCCCACCCCTCAGACTTATTCCGAGGCAGTGTCTGGCTTTCATGCAACAGAGTGGATGGCTGCCATCATTGCCGAGTGTGAGGCATTCACCAGAACTCAATCTTACGTTGAATCTGTCCCCCCCCCTGGCGCCACCATTGTTAAGGGCAAATGGGTCTTTCGTGTCAAACAGCTGCCTGGGGAGCTTCCTGTCTTCAAAGCCCGTTACTGCGCCAAAGGCTTCACCCAACGTGAAGGCATTGACTACTTTGCCACTTACTCCCCCACTGCCCGTCTCCCCACCCTTCGCCTCCTTCTTGATCTAGGTGCTCGCTGGGATTGGGAGATTCACTCTATGGATGTCTCCAATGCCTTTCTCCAGGGCGAGCTTCATGAGCGCATTTTCCTTGAGCGCCCCGCTGGCTTTCCTCGCCCCTTCCCTCCAGGCACTGTCTGGGAGCTGAAGCGCCCAGTGTATGGACTTAAGCAGGCCCCGCGCGAGTGGCATGCTAAGCTCGCCTCCACTCTTCACTCTCTTGGCTTCTCCACCTCCACTTCCGACCCCAGTCTCTTCATTCGCACTTCCCCCCACAGACTTTACATTCTTGCCTACGTCGATGACTTGGTGCTTCTCGCTGAAAATTCTGCCGACCTTGCCGCTGTCAAGCAGGCCCTCCATGCGCGTCTCCTATGCAAGGATCTTGGCGAACTTCGTCATTATCTCGGCATGGAGATTCGTCGTGATCGTGCTGCACGCACCATCTCCCTCTCTCAATCTTTCTACATCCACTCCATTCTTGAGCGCTTTGAAATGTCGCAGGCCAAGCCAGTTTCCACTCCTCTTCCCGCTAACCATCAGCTTACTGCCCCTGCCGTTCCCGCTCCCTCCTCAGAACTGCGACGCTATCCTGAGCTCGTTGGTTCCCTCATGTATGCTATGATGTGCACTCGCCCCGATCTTGCTTACCCCCTCAGTGTCCTCTCTCGTTTTGTTGGCCTTGGTCGCCACACTGACGTGCACTGGGCGGCTGCCAAGCGCGTTCTCCGCTATCTCCGCGCTACCTTTGATCTTGCACTCACTCTTGGTGGCTCTTCTCCCCCTGTTCTTTCCGGTTACAGTGATTCCTCATACGCTGATTCTCGCCCTGATCGCCGCTCCTCTCAGGGTTATGGTTTTACACTTGGCAGTGGCCTCGTCAGCTGGCGCTCCACTCGTTCATCCTCTGTCTGCCTTTCCACATGCGAGGCTGAGTTGTACGCAGGCACACTGGCGGCTCAGGAGGCGCGGTGGCTCTTGTTTCTCCTTGCTGAGCTTGGTCACTCTCAACCCTCTGTGACGCTCTCCTGTGACAGTGCGAGCATGATTCACCTCACTGAAAATCCTGTCTATCATGCTCGCAGCAAACACATCGAGGTCCGCTACTTCTTCGTGCGCGAGTTGGTGCAGTATGGCTTCCTCTACCTTCGCAAGGTGGCCGCTACTGACAACCTTGCTGACATTTTCACCAAGGCTCCCCTTCGTGCGCCACACCGTTTCTACGTGCGCGCACTTGGGCTCGCTCGTCTCGCCACTTCTGGGGGTGTTCCGATTCGCTAGGTGTTTTGTTCCAGAGCTTCACCTAGCCTGGGGGTGTGTTGGAGTAGGCTAGAGCTCGCTCTAGCATTTATCATGGTGTTCTTTTGTCATTTCGCCATGTCTAGAGCGAGATACACTTTCGGTTCAGTTTAGGTTCATTTCTTAGTTTCTAGCACAAACTGAACACACCCTAAGTTCATTTAGGGTTTCCTTCATTTGTATCTCGACATTCTTGTTAGTCTATCACTTGAACCATCCTCTCTAGCCATGGCTCCAAGTACTCTCTTAACACCTTCCAGCAGCTGCAGGTCGCTCATCCGCCACTCCAGCTCGGCGTCAATGGCGCGCACATACTTGATCGACAGCTCGACGCACGCCGTGACATCGCCATCCGTTTCATGTCCTGGGAGAGGCCGCTCGTGCAGCGTGAATTTAAAGGAGACGGGATTCCCATCCGCGTCTACGCCCTCCGCCTTCATCTCGTGCTTATCTTTCGCCTGGTGCCTCTGAATGAATTCTGGCAGCTGCATCTTGTCCCCGCTGCCGAAACTGTGGGCAGGGTCGCGGAGGGAATACCGCGTCTTCAGACGCATCCTTGTCTGCTGCACGATGTGCGCAACAAGGGTAACGTCCACCTGCACAAGGGCATTAGAATGAGTCAGGTAGTGCACGTGCTTGCTTGAGACAACACAAACGACAGCAAGAAAGGCCCTTACCTGGCGCTGCTGGAAACACTGGTTGAGGCAGTTAAGTTCCCAAAGCACATCCGCAAGAAAGCGGATGAGCCAGTGGAACTTGAACGAGGTAACCACCTCGTACAGTTCCGCCTTGTAGTCCTTCAGCACCACTATGGCCGCAGGGAGCACATCGAGCAGGCGCTGTATCGCTTCACCACGGGCGAGCCATCGGGTATCGCTAATCCCCTGCGCCTCCAGATTTGTCTGGCAGTAGATCCGCTGCATCTCTTGAAACTTTTGGTAGTCCACGCTGCTGCGGCCGATGTGGTCAGCGAAGGCGCGCACGACAGCGTCTATCATTTGCAGCTCATGTACCTCTTCAGCAGCATCACTAGCAGCGAGTGCCTCCTGTACAGTAGGGCACATCGACAGAGAGTAAGTCAATAACAATTCCTGTAAAAACGGCAGCACAAAACACACAACGGAGATGCGTACCGATGAGCGATACAATGTGTTGAGGCCAGATGCGGAATGCGCATTCGCAGCCGTGTCACGACTCCTCTGTTCTTGCCGACCATCACGCTGGCACCATCAGAGGCGACGCTGGATATATTCAGGAGGTCGACCCCGATTCCTGTGAGATACTGCACGACAGCGGATGTGAGTGAGGCACCGTCAGCACGGTCAACTGTAATGAGTGTCAAAAACTCTGTCACCACTGTGTTGCGCTGGAAGAACGTGGCGTATAAAATGAGGTGCTTCCCATGCACCCGGTCCGTGCTCTCGTCTAGGGAAATCCCTATCCACGGGGATTCCAGCAGGTGCTGACGCTGTGTCTCTTGGATGTATGTTGAGAGGGCGCGCATGTTTTCTTTGAATCTGTAACTGCCAGGAGAATAAAACGGTGGTCAAATCAGGTAGTGCATTAGAATGAATAAACCAGTTTCACCATCACATGCCTCAACTTACTCGGTGTAGTACGCGCCGTAGCCGCCGGAGGGAGGGAGGTCTGGTAACCCCTCCTTCGCCAGAAACCAGCACAGCGGGACGAACATCGCGATGGGTGCGTCCGCCTTGCATACGAAGAGCGCGATGTGGAGGAGATGGATGAGGTGTCGGGTAGAAGCATCCGTGACCTGCCACCGAGTGAGTGTGGCCTGCTTTGGCCTTCTCCGCCTCCGATTTCTCTTGATTCTCCACCGCCTGCTTGTGTGCACGGGTCGATGAGTGTGTGCGGATGCTGCCTATCTGGAGAACCCGAGCACCCTCACCCTTCGCCCCATACGCGGTGTGCGCTAGTGGATCTCCGTGCTTCACACAAATGGCACACTTCAAAGAAGGACGGCCGTTAGACATGCGTAGCAAACGCAACCATTTGAAGCTACCTGTCTACTGAGCCTCAAATGTCTTCTTCACAGATTCGTACTCAGCATCTGCGAGCGCGGTGGGAGGCTTCGGATCGGCCGACGGAGCATGGCGTTTGTGTGACGCCGCATTTCGGGGAGGAGGGGCGCCCCAGAGCGTCTGCTGCTTGTACGTCTTCACCAAGGCACTTCAGCCTTGTGACCATCAGCATTTCTGTACTGTTCTAGGTCTTGTGCCCACTGGGCCTCACTTGCTTACTTCTTGACTCTACTTGTACTGTGATCTCTATACATATACCTGCATGCTTACACTTGCTAGGTTGTGATCGCTGTATTGCTTGTTCTCCTTTATATAACTCTGCATGTGAACTGGCCTTGTGGCCATTTGCTTGTGCTCAGAATGCGTGGTGACGTCGTGATCCACCCTGAGCTTGCTTTGCCTTTCTTGACTGGTCTTGTGACCTCTTGTTCTCCCCCACTTTGCCTATGGGGGTGTGTCAAACATATATGCTATAGCTTGTTTAGGCTGTAGTGGGGTAGTCAATATGGGGTACAACACTTTAGGGTTTCACTACTTGTACCCAACTTTCTGCGAATGCAGTCACTTCTTGTTTCTAGTTTCAACACATGAGCCATCACCAAGATTCATGACTTACCCGGCGGGAAATCGCCCTTTCGGCAAGGTCCGCTTGAAAAAAACCCACAGCTTAAGCTTTTCCCCGTCCGCCGTGCACGCCAACATGATGATCACACGCTCCTTCTGGTACCCCGCGCTCCTGATGGGCACCGACCGTACGCCTGTTTCTTCGACTGCCGTGGTGGCGGCATCTCCAGCCAGAGCGGCGTTTGGTCGGCGTTGACAATCCACCTGGTCTCGATGCCCCGCTGAAGACGCTTGTCACGGACGAATTGCCAAAACTACTTGCACTGCTCCCCGACATCTGTGAAAGTACAAACGAGTGGAAGAGGTACAAACAGGACAATTAGTACATAAGTCAAGAAATACATACGGTATACACCGTGACTCTTACGGGCGGCGGTTTTCTGAGCGACCTTCGTCTTCATGCGCACGCTCAAATTCCACCGCCGCCGAAAACGCTCCGACCACCTTTGGCTCCCTTTCCACTTCACGCCGGGAAGAGTGTCTTCATGAACTCTCGCGACCACTCCTGCAGGCGGCCGACGGACACGGCCGGTCCTTTGCGGCGCCAGTCGAGCAGTTTCTCGTAAACTTTTATCTCCATTGGCCGGTACCACGACGCCCTCCCGCGACCGTGCATGCGCTTGCATGCGGAGTGTACTTCTTTGAGGAATTCCGACGCACGCTTCCAGTTCGTGAGACACTTGCGGTGGATGCTGTTGGAAGTGTGGGGGAGGGATTGCCCCCCACGCGAAGACCTCCCTTGACTCGGACCAAGGGAGGGTTCTTTCTCGGAATGAGGGGTGACGGCGGATTGCCCGCGTCGCCACTCAACCGAGTTCACCCCCGGTTGGGTCCGAATATTTGTGGGGGCGACACTTGGCAGCCCCACAAGCATGAACGAAAATAGCGAGAGTGCAAGCGAATGTTACGAACATTTCGCTACACTCGCTATTGTTCCTTGTAACACACAATTGTCGGTGTGACGAATTGAACCCGGCAAAGTCCGAAAATATGAATGCGGACGTCGCGAAAATTGGACGCAATCCTGAGTCCGAATTTCTAGCGAGTCGCGCGTGGTTCGATGTTACAATCTTGCTTGCATGTTTTAGCTATAAATTCCAGAGAGCAAAACAGAGAGTCAACTTCAATTCGTAGCTTGTACCCAGCCATATATAAACAACTATTGCTCTCTCATCTTTTGGGCGATTTCAGTGATCTAAGTTGCTACGGAATCCTTGCTCCGAGCCCGTCGGATTGATCCTAGGATCTGCCTCTAACTCGCCAAGTTCATTCTGCGGCGTTGCTTAGACGGAGACGGTTTCTTTCAGATGCCACTCTCGCGAGCCAAGGAGCGCACGGACACCGCCAAATCCAGCCGCGCGACCCACTTCAGTTTCTCGGCGGCAGTATAGGCCTGTCGCTTGTGCTCGTTGAGCTTATGCCTGGGAGAGGGGGTGCGGGCATCACGGTTCTGTGAAGCAGGGTGGAGTCGCTTGCGATTAACAGGAGGATAAGACGGTATAGGTAGTTTCTCGGGTAGCCCGTCGCGAGACCAGTACTCGACACCGTCTTCGTCGCCGCCGCCCGCAGCACCCTCGGGAACACACCCTCAGCGGTGCCGGCCTCGGTGCCACCCTCCGTGCCACCCTCCGTGCCGTCAGCCACCTCGTCGTCAGCGCCGACTGCATATTCGTCCCACGTGCAGTCGTCGGGCTGTCCCCATCGTGGTACCGGGGCCGGAGCTTCTATGTACTCATCAGGGGCCTTGTTGGAATCCGGTTCCGAAAGGTACTCGTCGAACGCCGATGGTAGCAGGAGCGTGAGCACGGGCTGATTTCGCGTGAGGCCTGGAGACACAGGATACACAGGACACGGAGGAACAGGAGGAGCAGGAGGCGCAGGAGGCGCAGGAGGAGCAGGCGGCGCAGGAGGTGCAGGAGGTTGTGATGGCTCTGGTGGGATACGGGAATACCACCCGTCAGCGTCAACTCTAAACGCGGGCCTAGCGGTAGGCTTCTTATTGAACAAGAAGTGGGTGCCAGTGAATTCCGCCATGGCTTTCGCAGCCTGGCGGGAGATAACTGAAAACTGACTGAACAACTGGACGAATGAGTGAAGAAATGAAATATTGAAGGGGACCCCTTCGGCTTAGCGCCTCGGGGTCCTCGTCAATGAACGAGGTGTACCCCCCTGCCTGAACCCGCAGAGGAGGGTTCATGGCACCATCCATGCTGCGCTGGCAGGGCATATTCCACCCCCTTCTAGAGGGTTCAGTTGAAATGCTCCTGCCTGGCAGCGCATGACGAACTGATTGGGCCGCACGGCAGGCTCCGCGTCAGCGCTGCCAGGTGCGTTGCTCCGGGACAGGTTTTGTGCGGTGGGAAATCGAATCGCGGCAAGTTTCGCCGAGATTCCATCCACGATCCCATGCGCACGTCACACTGTTGTATTCGCCTTACTGAGGGATTCATTTCGGTACCTTTAAAACCAAAATTCAAATATGCCTTCACAAAAGCGCCGGCGCTAATGGCCGTTACTCAATTACAAGCGCCCCCCCTTAAAAAAATGAATTTATTATAAGCGCATATGCGCTTCTATCCGGGGCAATACAGTATCATCGAGCCTTGATAAACTGTTTACTGCTTACTAAAGAAGTACACTTCGATTTAAATAAAAATACAGTAATGTCAGCCGAACAGCACCCAATGAACAGCATCAAAGTGAACCCCTCTGCACCTTCCCAACTCCGAGCGACTGAGTGCTACCGATCCCTAGCCCACCCCAAATTTATCGCGGGAGTCGGAAACTCGTCCATGTCGGTGCGTGTCGGTGCACTCAACTGAGCCTGGCAATTCCGAGTAAGCCAACGCGCAGTTGGATGGACCAATCACCGCCCTAATGCCGCATTTACCACCCTTCAATTCGTCAAACCTCAACTGACGTGGGTAGGAGGACTTGCACGAATATGGTGCGCCTCAGATCAGATCAGATCAGATCCTGTGGGTGTCAAGTTTTCGTTTCGTTCGGGTCTTTGTTCACAATCAATCTTAATTAGATGCTCCAAAGTTGCGGGACAGCTGGCGAACACTGTAGTGCATTTAAAGCGAGTTATGACTGGCTTGGGGTTTTGGTGAACAAAGCGGTGCACAAAACGGCCATGGGGACCCGTGCCCAGTAGAAGCCAACAGGTTGATACAGTGCGGGTGTTACGGGTTGCCTTGGCTGCGTGGAGGGATGTTTTTTTTGGGGGGGGGGGGAAGTGGTTGGGGGGGGGGGGGGGGGGGGGTGGGGGAGGGTGGGGTAGGGGGGAGGGCAATTGAGATGTAACAAAAACTGAGTCCTAAGGAAAACCCTTGTTCTGGCATCGCGGTACCAGTTCTGCCCACAAGACTGAAAAATGGTTTCTGTAACTGAACGAC